TATTACCAGCCATGGCGAATATATACATGGAATACTTTGAGGAAATGGCATTAGAATCTATATCTGTAAAGCTAACTATATGGTTAAGGTACATAGATGACACCTTCATACTCTGGCCATACCAGGAAGATGTTCAGGTTCTACTGAACCATGTGAACTCAATAAGACCTTCGATATAGTTCACAATGGAGAAAGAGAGTAACAACACACACCCATTCCTGGATGTTCTAATATCTCGAACAGAGCATGGGTTCAAGACATCTGTACACTGTAAACCGACATTCACCGGACAGTACCTCAATTTCAACTCCCACCATCCATAGGGATCGTCCGCTGCTTACAACACCGAGCAAAAGTCATAAATGGCGACACAGAGACATTAGATAAAGATATAAGTAGTACCCTACAACATAACAACTACCCTGGGTACATGGCAGTAGCCCCCAAAAACTGGGATAGGCGGGTACAAGAGGAGGACAACAACACTCAGAAAACAATCTGCCTGCCTTATGTGAAGGGGTTATCAGAGAAAATACAAAGGATCTGCGGACATCAGGACAACCTTCAAAAGCTTGACGACACTTCGCAGATATCTCTCCCGAATAAGACCCCCATAGAGGAGAACATGACTAAAGACTGTGTGTACGCTATCCCGTGCAGCTGCGAAAGGAAATATAATGGGGAGACAAGCCGCCCCCTCAAAGAATTCTTCAAGAACACCAAAAAGCTATAACGCGAGGGGAAGTGGAAAAATCAGGCGTGGCTGACCACATATGGAGAGAGAAGGGAGATCACCGCCCTCTGTGGGATCAGGTTGAGATCGTAGACAAAGAAAACCATTGGCAAATTCGTAAACTTAAGGAATCAGCACATATGCTAGGCCACAAAAATCTCCTGAGCCGCTCAAGCATAGAAATGAATACAATATGGGAACCAGTAATTAGGAGTTCCAGAGAAAAGCGATAATAACAAGAAAAGTTGCAATATGAGCTCTGGTAAAAAAACATGCAATGATAACAGCAAAAAATTGCAATATGAGCAGTGGTAAAAATGGTTGCTGAGACATTAGGTTTATAATACCCAGAAATTCATACACAGATGTACTCAAGGACACATGGCACAGTGGATAAAGGCGTTGGTTAGATCCAGTGACAGGACCCAAAGAGTGTGAGTTCAATACCTGGTTAAGGCAGTGCAGAACATTCAGAACATATATATATATATGTTTTCTATCTTATAAACAGAGTATATATATATATATATATATATATATATATTCTATCTTATAAACAGAGTATATATATATTCAGAACATATATATATATATATACTCTGTTTATATGATAGAAATATTTAAGTATATACTCTGTTTATAATAAGCAGTATTAACTACCTTTACCGACCTGAATATCTGAGAAATTTCATAGAAAATATGTGTCCTCTGACAGGAATCGAACCTGTATCCTATACGGAACCGTCATTTAGCCTGATGTGCTATACTATTTAGCCACAGAGGAAGCGCCTGTCTGACTTCATTTCATAATAAATGTTGTCATTTGCTTACGTTAAGATACTTTTCGAGCAGATATGATCGTTTGAGAAAATCATAGGAAATTTGTTGTTAAAAACATTAATTTGACTCTTTCTCTGAAGCTAAAATAACTTAAATAATTTTATCTATAAAAATAAAGTAGAAAAAAAAAAAAAAAAATATATATATATATATATATATATATATATATATATATAAACAGCAATTATTTTTTCTAACCAATTCAGTACAAAAGCAGATCATTTTCTTTCTCTTTTTCATTTCATTTTGACCACTCAACAGTATTATAAATCAGACCAACAGAAAGGTTACAGGTTACGACCTGGCCTAATTATCATGTCGGCTTAGTGGACACACTGGCGACTAGGACACTAGTACGCTCTTCTCTACATACACTCCCGACAACGCACACATACAAAGTACACACACATACTTTACTATTTCACGCACACAAATATCAACACTCATGCAAAAGGTAATTTTGTTACTCTCCTTCGGACTTCCTCGTTTTTTCGAACTGAGGTATGTACAAGGAGCCCACTGGTTATCTGCATGGGAAGTGAAATCCGTCATAGTATTTTGCTTGGAAATAGATGAATTCGCATCATCCCCTACTCCAAATATACCTTAAATAGCACGATAGACTTGGCTCTTTAACATTGGATATTAGCCAGTCTATGATAAAGGTAACTAAATTCAATGCCGTGGAGAAGGCAACGGAAATCACTCACCTATATTTCCCAAGGAAGAAGTCATTTAACTATTTACTTTATGTACTGTTGTCCTCATCTTTATTGCGATATTCACGATGTTTCATCCGTTGTATGCTCCGGCCTTCTTCAGGCCATATACGTTGGAATATATAAAGGGTTCGGTTCGAAATTCCAACGTTTATCACCTGAAGAAGGCCAGGGAGTACGACGGCCGAAATGTCGTGAATATGTCAATAAAAATGATGACAAGTGTTTTAGAAGGCATCTTTCACTGGTATTATTTTAGTCTTTTAATTTTAATAATTTCTTTTGTTCCTTAAACATATCAATAGCTAACTTTTCAGTCCTGAAATAATTTACGATATCATGATCAAAGTTTGTAGATTATATTTTTTTTTCTTTGTTTTTTTTTTTTTTTTTTACATTATTCGGACTATTGTCCTCATCTTTGTCGCCATATTTATTACAACGTTTCGGCCGTTGATAGATAGATAGATAGATAGATAGATAGATAGATAGATAGATAGATAGATAGATAGATAGATAGCACACTGGTATAGATTAAAACAGACTACGATAGATAGATAGATAGATAGATAGATAGATAGATAGATAGATAGATAGATAGATAGCACACTGGTATAGATTAAAACAGACTACGATAGATAGATAGATAGATAGATAGATGATTAAATAGATAGATACTACACACTGGTATAGATTAAAACAGACTACGGTAGATAGATAGATAGATAGATAGATAGATAGATAGATAGATAGATAGATAGATAGATAAGCGTGACATGGGAAATAAAAAAAAATGGAAACAAATTCAAAGCAAATGTTCATAGATTGGAATCATCAGATGATCATTATTGGAATATAAAAAAAATGTCTTCGGAGAAAAAGAATAATGAAGTGAAAAAGTTTGAAGCATTGTCAGAAATGAGAGGCAAACTCTGTTATTTCGGAAAAGGTCCGTTGTGAGCTTTGCGGCGAAACCTTGAGGGAGACGGTGCTGTAAAAAAAAAAGGAGACACATAAGCCCAGCAGAGGTCAACTTATTCTCCATTGGCCCCACTTCTCCCAAAAGCTAATAATCTCGCTAAATGCCACACGAGTAACACATCAATGGCGGATACAGTTAGAAAACGAGTCAGTTTCTTTAATCTTCATCTTTACTCTTTGTCTTTAGCAATTATTTCCTTGTCTCAAACACACGCATACACGCACACACACGCACGCAGGCACGCACACGTATGCACAGACACACACGCACGCACACGTATGCACAGACACACACGCACGCACAGCCCTCATTAGCATGCTTTATTTCCTTCTCTTTCTCCATTCTTTGCTGTTTTTCGATTATTCACCAATGCATTCTTTCTTGCTCGCCTCTGTTTCCCTATAATTTTTTCAAAGTTTTTTCTTTCTTTCTGTCTGTCTCTTTTATTTTCTTTCTTTCTTTCTTTCTTTCTTTCTTTCTTTCTTTCTTCTTTTTCGTTTCTTTCGTCAACGTTCTTTCTTTTTTTTGTCAACGTTTCCTCTTTTTCATTCAATCTTTCTTTTTTCCTTCTTTCTTTCTTTCTTTCTTTCTTTCTTTCTTTCTTTTTTCCTTCCTTCTTTCTTTCTTTCTTTTTTCTTACTTTCTTCTGTTTTTCTGTTTCCGAGGCGAACTTTCTTTCTTTCTTTCTTTCTTTTTTCTTTCTTTCTTTCTTTCTTTCTTTCTTTCTTTTCTTTCTTTCTTTCTTTCTTTCTTTCTTTCTTTCTTTCTTTCTTCTGCTTTCTGTTTCCTCGGCGCCCTTTCATTCTTTCTTTCTTTTTTTCTTTCTTCTTCTGTTTTTTGTTTCTTTCTTTCTTTCTTTTCTTTCTTTCTTTTCTTTCTTTCTTTCTTTCTTTCTTTTTCTTTCTTTTTCTTTTTTTTCTTTCTTTCTTTCTTTCTTTCTTCTGCTTTCTGTTTCCTCAGCGCCCTTTCATTCTTTCTTTTCTTTTTCTTTCTTTCTTCTGTTTTTCTGTTTCAGGGCGAACTTTCTTTCTTTCTTTCTTTCTTTTCTTTTTTCTTTCTTTCTTTCTTTCTTTCTTTCTTTCTTTCTTTCTTCTGCTTTCTGTTTCCTCGGCGCCCTTTCATTCTTTCTTTCTTTTTTCTTTCTTTCTTCTGTTTTTCTGTTTCCGAGGCGAACTTTCGTTTTTCTTCTTTCTTTCTGTCTTTCTTTTCTTTTTTTTCTTTCTTTTCTTTTCTTTCTTTCTTTTTTTCTTTCTTTCTTTCTTCTGCTTTCTGTTTCCTCGGCACCCTTTCATTCTTTCTTTCTTTTTTCTTTCTTTCTTCTGTTTTTCTGTTTCCTTGGCACCATTTCGTTTTTCTTTCTTTCTTTTTTCTTTCTTTTTTCTTTCTTTCTTCTCTTTTCTGTTTCCTCGGCGCCCTTTCATTCTTTCTTTCTTTTTTCATTCTTTCTTTTTTTTTCTTTCCTTCCTTCTTTCTTTTTTCTGCCAAAGTTCTTTCTTTCTTATTTTTTGTCTTTCTCCAGTCTTATGTTTCCTTAACGCTTTTTCTTTTCCACGACGTTCTTTCTTTCTTTCTTTCTTTCTTTCTTTCTTTCTTTCTTTCTTTCTTTTTTTCTTTCTTTCTTTCACCTCCAACTGTCTCCCTCTCCTTGGAAACCACCGTAATTAATTTTCTTTTCTTACTTCTTTCTGTTTTTTTTTTTTTTTTTTTTTAACTGGGAACCTCTTTCATGGTTTACTTCTCCCACTTATTTTCTCTCTCTCTCTCTCTCTCTCTCTCTCTCTCTCTCTCTCTCTCTCTCTCTCTCTCTCTCTTTTCTTCCTCAGATTTCTTCGAAATCCCCTCAAATCTCTTAGGAAATCAGTCTTTTCCTTTCTTTGTCATTTAATGTTTTTTGCTTTTTGCCTTTCTCTCTAGTTTACGCCCTCTCTCTCTCTCTCTCTCTCTCTCTCTCTCTCTTTCTCTCTCTGTTGACGTTATTGTATTTTTATAGTTGTTCTTCTCACTCTCTTTCTCGCTCTTTTTTGTTGTTATTGTATTTGCTGTAGTTGTTCTCTTCTCTCTGTTTTTGCTATTGAATTTGTTGTAATTTTTCTCCTCACTCTCTCTCTCTCAAACTCTCTCTCTCTCTCTCTCTCTCTCTCTCAAACACTCTCAATCTTCATTTTTATCTTTGTTCAAGTTACTTATGTAAAAAATATGATCTTTTTTCACTTACACATTATTTCCTCTCTCTATCTCTCTCTTTTTGTCTCTCTCTTTCTTTTTTACCTCTTTGCCTCACTTTTTATTTCTTTTGGTGGATTTTTTTCTGTCTATCTCCGCTCTCCCTCCCCCTCTCCCTCTATCTAATTATGTCTTTCTGTCCGTCTCCTCTCTCTCTCTCTCTCTCTCTCTCTACCCGTTTATGCCTTTCTGTCTATCTCACTCACTATTTCTCTGTCCGTTTTTTCATTATGCTTCTATCTCTCTTTTTCTGTCCTTCTCTTTTCCGCTTCTCGTTTGCCACTCTCTTAGTCTCTGACTCTCTTTCTGTCTAGCTGTTTTTCTTTCGGCCTCTTCGTCTTGCCTTTTGTCTGTTTCTTTTTTTCTTTTTCTGTGTGGCGCTCTTTCTGTTTTTAATTCCCTGTCTCTGTCTCTCTCTCTCTCTCTCTCTCTCTCTCTGTTCATTTTGAAACCTCTCTTTCATTCAGTTTTTCTTTCTCATTCTATCTGTAGCTGTAGCCTCCTCTCTCTCTCTCTCACATACACTCTCACACTCTCTCTCTCTCCTTCTCTCGCCCCATCTCTCTCTCACTCTCCCACTCACTCTATCTCCCCCTCTCTCTCTCTCTCAAACTATCTCTCTCTCTCAAACTCTCTCTCTATCTCTCGCTCTCTCTCTTCACCCATCATTCTCACTCTCGTTCTAAATATGAATGTTCTCTCTGTTTCTGGAATTATATGAATTCCCTCATTTATGCATTTCAAATAACTTTATATGATTTCTCTCTCTCTCTCTCTCTCTCTCTCTCTCCCTCTCTCTTATCTCCGCCATTGTCATCAAGATGGCGACTTGGTTGCACACACTCAGCCTCAACCCTCCGTCGTTACTCTATCAGCGAAATGCCCGCACCTCTAACCACTTCCCTTCTCTACTCAGCTAGCAAACTCGCCTTACCGCACACCCATATGAACATACACGTATGCATACGTGCGCGTACACATCAAATTCCCCAGGGCTACAATGGATGTACAGTCCTCCGTCTCTCTTCCTCTACCAAACGCGGATTCTTGCGTCCAGTCCCCCGGGAACTTTGTCCGTAAATACAAAATCTCGTGCACAGTCAAAAACGATTACAAAATACGCCAAAAAAGGACCTGGTGGCGTGAGTGATGTTCCTTGGGTCGCCTGCATATGATTGCTATTGGTCTGGTCAGAGTCTCTCATTTTAACCTCTTCCTGCTCTTTGCTCTTCCACAGTGTATTCTCTGCTGCATTTGTGTCCATAACAGGCACTGCCCGGAGTAATCGTTGGCTTATTTCTTTCATTAAACCAGTTCCATGGATGAACAAAAAAAAAAAAAGACTCTCTTTCTTTTCCATTTTTTTTTTTAGAGGCGTACACAGACTTATATAAAAATATATTATGATTTATGTACAAAAAAAAAGTGACTCCGAAAAACATACCAGGAAGCAAGTCATATTTTGATAACAAATAAAAGTGTCCACAGGTTAATATTTCAAATTTAGTTAGATCCTAAGAAGAGTATTCAAACGAAGAAGATGTGGTTCTAACTCATTAGGTCGGCTATTCGATCATGGTTCTCCACAACGTCCTCTCTTATAGTGCTAAGTAACGTTTAATAGTTTACCATTCTTTTTTGTCTCTGCTCTAACATCCATTCACAGAAACTCATTATGTAGGTCACTCGATCATGGCTCTTCACAACGTCCTTCTCTTAAAGTGCTAAGTAACGTTTAATAGTTTACCATTCTTTTTTGTCTCTGCTCTAACATCCATTCACAGAAACTCATTATGTAGGTCACTCGATCATGGCTCTTCACAACGTCCTCTCTTATAGTGCTAAGTAACGTTTAATAGTTTACCATTCTTTTTTGTCTCTGCTCTAACATCCATTCACAGAAACTCATTATATAGGTCACTCGATCATGGCTCTTCACAACGTCCTCTCTTATAGTGCTAAGTAACGTTTAATAGTTTACCATTCTTTTTTGTCTCTGCTCTAACATCCATTCACAGAAACTCATTATGTAGGTTACTCGATCATGGCTCTCCACAACGGCCTTTCCTAATAGTTCTAAACAACGTGTAATAGTTTACTATTCCACTCTTTCTCTCTTCTAACTTCTATTCACACAACTCATTAGGTCGGCTACTCGATCATGGCTCTCCACAACGGCCTTCTCTTATAGCTCTAAACAACGTTTAATACTTTATCATTACACATTTTCCTGCTCTCATATTCATTCATACAAATTCATTCGGTCGGTTGCTCGATCAGGCTCTCCACAGCGTCCTTCTATAAAGCTCTAAGCAACGTTTAACAATTTATCATCCCACCATTTTCCTGTTCAGATATCCATTCATACAAGCTCATTACGTAGGTTACTCGAACACGGCTCTCCACAACGTCCTTCTCTTATAGTTCTAAGCAACGTTCAACACTTGATCATTCCCCTTTGTCCCCGCTCTGACGTCCATTCACACAAACTCATTTGGTCGGTTACTCGTTTTTTTCATTTTGTCTTCAGTATCTACCGGAAGTGATAAGTTCTCCAAGATTTATTTAAATTTAAACTACCCCCTTATGATTTTAAGAAATTTAAGCTGTCCTCTTCCGATTTTAAAAAATTTAAGCTGTCTCCTTCCGATTTTAAGGAGTCTAAGATGTCTCCTTCTGATTTTAAGAAATCTAAGCTGTCTCCTGATTTTAAGAAATTTAAGCTGTCCCCTTCCGATTTTAAGAAATTTAACATGTCTCCTTCTGATTTTACGAAAATTTAAGCTGTCTCCTTCTGATTTTAAGAAATCTAAGCTGAAAATTTAAGCTGTCCCTTCTTTTAAGAAATTTTAAGAAAATTTAAGCTGTCTCCTTCTGATTTTAAGAAATCTCCCCTGATTTTAAGAAATTTAAGCTGTCCCCTTCCGATTTTAAGAAATTTAACATGTCTCCTTCTGATTTTACGAAAATTTAAGCTGTCTCCTTCTGATTTTAAGAAATCTAAGCTGTCTCCTGATTTTAAGAAATTTAAACTGTCACCTTCTGATTTTACGAAAATTTAAGCTGTCTCCTTCTGATTTTAAGAAATTTGAGCTGTGTCCTCTGATTTTAAGAAATTTAAGCTGTCTCCTTCCGATTTTAAGAAATTGAAGTTTTCCCCTTCTGATTTTAAGGAGTCTAAGCTGTCTCCTCCTGATTTTAAGAAATCTAAGTGTCCCCTTTCGATTTAAAAAAAAAATTAAGCTGTCCCCTTCTGATTTTAAGTATAAGAATCCTTGTTGTTAACATTTTATTAAACTTCTTCATTACACACATGTTTAGTTTATGGTATTCTCAGAGCCTCCGTCAGACATCACCGTTCCTTTTTTATTCACAATGAAAATTTTTCACCATTCACTGTCGTTGAGGCTAGATACGACATTGCATTTCAGTACTCTTTTCTTGGTAAGGAAATGTTCCTGTCTGTTAATAATTTGCTTAGTTTCTGGAAAGTATCTTTCGCTATTCCAGTGCGCTAGAAATATACGTCCCCACAAAACAAAGCAGCATTATTCGGGAGGAAGTTAGCATATTCACGTAGTTTAACCATTATGGGTGCATCTTATGGAATTGGCGCGTCAAGTTTAAGTAAGTGTCGAGACCGTTGCATTCGCTTTCACACATATTAATCCATATCATTCCCCCAATATAAGGTTTACTAACACGCAGAACTGGTTTCTGTATATTTTTAATACTATTGTACAGCTAACACAAGGCCGAAGAGCCACTCAGAGTAGAGTGTTACTAAATGCGTTTCTTAGATATAGAAAGAGTAAGTAAGAAAAGCATATTATTGTAAGGTAGATAACGCTCTCGGTAGATAGGCTCTAGACTTGAAGAGGTTAAGATCAGGAAAGCAGACATAGTTAAACTTCCTGCTTCGGAATAAGATACGAAGCGGGTGATTATGATTCGATCCTGCGTCCTTGGATCAGTAGAATTAAGGAGTGTAACTCCTCTGAAAATCTGCTTTGAAAAATGCCAATAGAATGGCTTTCGCAATCTTTCGTTGGCAATCAGTCTTTGAATTTAAAGCCGTTTGAATTCTAAACTACATTCTACTGAACCCACAGTTTGAACTCTAAACTACTTTCTACCGAAGAGTACATACTGAAGACAAGCCAGCGTTTGAACTCTAAACTACTTTCTAACGAAGCCACAGTAGCAAAACCTAACGTGGCTTGTCTTCGTATGAACCGTCATGCATTCTTGGAAAGGATTCTGGGATGGTTTCCGACTGCCATAATTTTGCAGAGATTTATTTCACTTACATGGGTTGCCAGACACAGCTATATATCCCAGTGTACCCTGCTATTTAACCCATTAGGCAGTCAGTTATGTGCCATACGTAATACATGCTTGGGCGATCTTGTCTTGCAACAACTTCCTCACGTCCTGTGTATGACGATAAACTACATCCGGCAGCCAAGCCTCTGATCGGGAGACTGGAGGTTTTGAGGAGCGTGGAATCACCTCTTAACTGCTGTTGTTCCCAGGTCCATCCTGACCCCGGGTGGTAGCATTTGTTAGGGTCCCAGCTATAAGGAAATAGTGAACCCTAAAACTGGGGTCAAAACACAAAAATATAAAAATAGACTTTTACAGTAAAAAAGCAAGCAACACATTTTTTTTAATTTTTTACCAGCAATAGATTTTACACTTGACAAAAACTGTCTAAAAAAAATTACGTCAATAAAACCTGATCTACAAACGGATTTCTTACAAAGAATACATATTCTATTCATACAAACCTATCCTAACAATCTTGCCGGCATTAAATAACCCATTGAGGTGTTGATATGCCGTAAAACAATATAAACCCAAACCAACCAACTTCCTCACCTAAATAACTGTCGAGTCTTTCGGTTAAGTGCCACACGTGATACACGCTTGGTCTCTTTCAATTCATGATCGACTAGGCAGATAATTGCCCCGCAGTAGACTGGTTGCCAACCAAGGCTATAGGAGTCTTGTTATTTAACCCATAGCTTGGGTGGGGAGAAGAGATGGATTCATACCTTTCCCAAGGTTATTTGCACGTTAATTAATGTAATGAACTCGATTGGAATTCGAAATCGGCTCCCCGATTTCTCATTCCAAGCCGTTATCCGCTTCAGCATACCGCACATCCTGTAGTAATGAGCATCTATTATGTCAGCCAGATTCATTTAATATTTAGAGCGAGACGCTGCTAAGAGAACGAGCAGTTCTCCCAGGACTTTCTTTTATTGGCGTACACAATCTTAGCAACATAATATATGTTGATAGCAAACACAGAAAGGAAACTACAGAAAGGCAAGATAGTGAACAGAAAGACTACCAATCAATTGCAACAAAACAAAATATATGCTTGAGAACAAGAAGTGGAACCCAAGATCAAAATCAAGCAAATATGAAAATTAACCATCTAGAAAGTGTTTTAGCAGGGGACGGAAATATGGCACCGAAATCCGAAGTCACATTGGAATAGCAAAATATGTCATTCAAAAGCTAAGTAATGTATTAAGAAACAGGAAAAGTTCGTTAGAAACAAAGGAAATATTGCTGAACTGCTATTTAATATCAATCCTACTATATAGCAGCAAATGCTGGACAATATCCTCACAGATAAAAAAAGAAACGTAAGGCAACAGAAATGTG